CGGCCAACTCCGATTTCTTCTCTAAGAGCCTCTCTCCTTCTTCACTCAAACTCAAGCAGCAGAAACTCACCCACCTCCACTTCTACTTCCAGGACATACTCTCCAGGAAAAACCCCACCGCCGTCCGGATCGCACAAGCACGAATCACCAATACCTCCTCCACCTCCTTCGGCGCCCTGGCTATGGTTGACGACCCTTTGACCTTTTCGCCCGACATCAACTCCACCCTGGTAGGAAGAGCTCAAGGGCTTTATGCGTTTTCATCCCAGGAGGAATCATCGTTAATGATGGCGATGACCTTTTCGTTCTTGGAGGGGAAATATAATGGGAGTGCGCTCAGCCTGTTGGGGCGGAACCCGCCGTTTAACACCGTGAGGGAGATGCCGATTGTCGGCGGCAGCGGGCTTTTCCGGTTTGCTCGAGGGTATGCTCAGGCGAGGACTAATACCTTTAATCTCACTACCGGGGATACTTGCGTTGAATATAATGTTTATGTTCTCCATTACTGATTAATTTATTTGATCGTCAGATTGTTGCTTTGGTCCGGTCAGTTCTGTGTTTTTATGCCTTATTTACCTTTTTCTTTTTCTTTTTTTCTTTGATGGAGCCTGATTCACTTTGTTTAATATATATTAAGATTGTCCTACGTGGGTCCTCCAAATGTAAGAGTTGAAATTTTTATATTAAAAATTTTAAATTTTAATTTTAAAATAAATAAAAATAAATTTAAAAAATAAAATTATCTCATATTATATAATTTTTTTAACAAATCATATTATATAATCTATTATTTGATGAACAAAAAATATATATGTAATATTGGTATTCCTAAAGTCCTATTGGCCAGCAGAAATTGCAATAAATGTGTACCATCTACTTTTGCAAAGAAAAGCAAGAAAAGGATTTGTCAACAAGAAGTTGTTAGAAAAACATCATTTAAAATGTAATGTACTCAAACCAGAAAATTGACAAAAAAGTGAGGGATTAATTCTAATACAATAAACTCAAATTTGCTTTAAAAGTACGTTAAGGGCTTAGGTTAAAATAAATGAGTATTAAGAAAAATTAAATCAAAATAATGATAATGAAATAAGGTAAGGACAAATTTTGAAAATCAATTAAAGAAAGTGCAGAAAACAAAGTTAAACAAAAATTGAAATTGTACGTAAAAAACGTAAATCTGACAGAAATGTAAAAAACGCAATAGATAAATAAAATATTCTAAGTTTAATTGAAATTGTAGACATGTTTTGAATACAAATCAAATAAGTGATTAACAATTGAGAAATTTAATAAAAGTAATAAGAGAAAGTCAGGAATTAATTTTACCCAAAAAACTAAATCAACTAAAAACAATAATCTGTTAAGGATACTGATCTATTTCTACTGGACTAAAAATTTGAACAAAAGGTGTTGGAAAATAGTCTAAAATTAAGAGAAAGCACTGGGCTAGATTCAAGGATACTTGAAAAACAAAGAGTTTTGAAAAATAAATAATTTATGTTAAAAGGTAAACTTGTGTATGTGACTTAATAATATCTTCAAAATTAAAATTTATAAGCTTCCATAACTGCTCTCATTCAATAAAAACTCAAATCTGAATTACCTCTCCATCCAAAGTTAAATATGATATCAACAATCCTAATTTTCTCTCCTTCATGCACATTGCTGGTTAGCCAAAAAACAGGAAAAATGAGCAAAATCCAGCAAAAATCCATCGGTCGTAATTCCTAAAAGTCAACCTTATCCGCTTCCTTTTGACCGGGTCATACTCTCCTTGTAAATTAAAGATCAAATCTCCTAATAAAACTTGACTCCTAAAAAAATACCAGCCAATGGGATTTCAATAAATAGAGTCCAACTTGTCAAAAAATAAATAGAGTCCAAAAGTATTTGGATTTTACACTTCTTTAGGCTGTATAATTCCTTTTAATTCAATAAACTTTCCACTGTCAAATCCACTTCCAAAATAAATAAAGTTGGACTCTTCAGGTTTAATTAATAAAAATGTTAAAAACTCTAGTACTGTATAAATAATCTATACCAGCCCAAGGCAACATAAAATGAACTCCACTATGCCATATCATAGGCAAATAATTTATAATAAATAAAAAAAAATTAATGACCATTTAATCTTTTAGCGACACATGACATAATCTCAAAAAATTACTAATTATGGTGTAAACAAATAGTGTCTTATTTTGTTGTTTTGATTGCATTAAATTACAAAACAAAATTGAACTCACTTCCTATCTACCGATTTAAATTATACAATTCAATATAGTTTATACTATATAATATTTTTTTTATATAATAATAGCCATATATGTAACTTTCA